AGAGTTTTGCCTGGGGTGTGCCCGTCTGGCCCTCTGTGGCCCGGACGCCCAGGTCTGAGAGAGTGAAGTGGAGGCTGGGAGAGACCTGTGCGGGGTGTGAGCCTCTTTCCCTCCTGGGGCCACAGAGCCTCAGTCATGCTCGTGTGCCTGCAGGTGTCAGTGTGAAGAAGGGCCAAGAGCTGGTGAATATCCACTGCCCCATCGTGATCTCTGACGCAGGCCTGTTCAATACCTACAAGCACTTATTGCCAGAGACCGCCCGCTGTCTGCCAGGTAAGACGGCCATGTGGCTCTCCTCTGAGTTCCCTGGCATCGCTGCTCCAGAGCAGCTCACTCCGCCCGGCTGGTGCTTTTCCCAGGGACATGGCTGCCCTCTGCTGAAGCAGGAAAGGTGGACTCACTGGCCTCTAACTTGCTCCTCTCTGTAGGAGTTGGGGGAAAACTTCATTTGTATCACATCACCCCCAGATCCTTTGATCCTTATTTATCTCTTCATGCGTGGCATAGTCACTCCCTCCTCCTCATAACCTCAACCACTTTCCCCTCTTAAGATTCCGTTTCAAGTTGCCCATTTCCGGTTTTCTTGCATCTTAAATCATCTCTCTAATGGTGAATGATGGTGGGTAGAGTCCAAAAGGAACATTTCTTGGGTTTTCATTAGGTTTGTGGTATAAATCCTGCTTCCTTCCTTAATTTCTCACTTATTTGAGGGGAAGACTGGTCTGGCATTATCAGCAAGGGAAGCTCAGGTCGGCGTGGAGGAGAAAGGCTTCATAAAACTGTTGTGTGCCCTATTGGGCCCAGGTTATACTTTCCCGTCTCTCAGGAATCATATTGGGCTGAGCCTTTCTTCTGTTCCTTAAACGCTGTGCCCAAAATGAGCCTCAACGCAGCTATCTTTTCTGATAGATGATGTCTGAAAACAAAAGCCTGGTCCAGATGGTGTGGCTCAGTGATTGAGAGTCTACCATGAACCAGGAGGTCATGGTTGATTCGTAGTCAGGGCACATGTCCAGGTTGTGGGCTCATCCCCAGTAAGGGGCTTGCAGGAGGTGGTTGATGGACTATTCTCTCTCATTGATGTTTCTAGCTCTCACTCTCATTTCATCTCTGAAATCAACAAAAATATATTTTAAAAAAGAAAAATAAAAGCCTGGTTTTGTGGAGGAGGAGGTAGTAGACATATTTGTCTATTTGTGCTTTGTTTTGTAATCAATTTTAGAGAGAGAGGAGGGGAGAAAGAAAGATGGACAGGATAACTTCAATTTGTTGTTACACTTATTTATGCATTCATTGGTTGATTCTTGTATGTGGGGATCGAACCCACAACCTTGGTGTATTGCCAGGACAACGCTCTAACCACCTGAGCTACCCAACCAGGGCAGGAGGTAGACCTATTTGTGGTTGGCCCCGGGTAGGTCTGTGTGAGAGGCTTTGCCGTTGTATTTCAGTGATTCTCAACCTTCCTAATGCCTCAATCCTTTAGTACAGTTCCTCATGTTGTGGTGACCCTCAGCCATAAAATTATTTTCGTTGCTACTTCATAACTGTAATTTTGCTACTGTTATGAATCATAATGTAAATATCTGATATGCAGGATGTCTTAGGCGATCCCTGTGAAAGGGTCGTTTGACCCCCAAAGTGGTCGTGACCCACAGGTTGAGAACCGCTGTTGTATTTGATCCTCTTAGCCCCCTGGGAGAGAGCCATCCTCCTCCTCATTTAAGTGCCATATAGAGACTATCCTGCAGGCGCTGAGCCAGCTCAGGGAGGCTGGGCGCTTCCTGCTTCTAAAGGTGCTTAGAGCAGAAGTGGATGGAGGCAGAAGAGTGGGAAAAGGCTCGAGTACCTGGCTCTGAGCTGAGAGGCATGGTGCTTCCAGAGAAAAGGCCTCGCTAAGGGGTGGAGAGCAGGCCAGCCCATGAGGAACACGGGCTCAGCCAAATGAGGTGAGAGGTAACTGTTTTGAAATGGACTTTAGGATGTTGTGTAACTAGACGCTACTGGTGTGATCTGAGGAGAGGAGGCCGTAGGCCTGGAGGGGACGGTGACCCAGGGCGTGGGGAGGGGGGTAGCTGCAGCCGCTGGCTGGGGCTGGGGGTGGCGAGAAAGGAGCAGCTCAGACGCCGCGGGGACAGAAAGGCACGGAGCCAGGGAGCCCGTGGAAGGAGCGCTCCACCTCACGGTGGGGTTTGCGGCTGCTCTTTGAGGAGCTGGGGAAGGTGGCAGCAGAGTGGGCTCAGTAGAAAAGTGAGGGCCTGGATTTCCTCGTTGGGGAGAGGATGGGTGGCCATCGTCATTGTCTCTATGGGACGTGTTCAACTGAAAACCCGCCTTCTCATTCCTCTGCCTCACTGAGCTGGGCCTCAGCCAGCACCTGCTCCCCGTGAAGGCCTCCGCCCTCAGCCTAAGCTGCGGGGGTGAGGCTGAGGCTGCCCGGGGCGGGGCAGTGGGGCGGGGCGGGGCGGACTGACCAACAGCCTTTCCTTTGGTACTTCCTGCCTCCCTCTCTCCCGGACCTTTGATCCCGGGTCCCACCCAGGCCTGCCTTCTCTCCTGGCCGCATGTTACCTGTCCAGCTTGCCTTCCCTCACAGGGAATAGCTGTCACTGCTCTTAGGTGGCTCAGCCCTGAAAACAGGCCAAGGGCACGAGCCCCCTCCTGGCTGAATTCCAGATGAATTCCAATTTGAGAACATTCCAGGCAGAGGCAGGAATTCAGAGGCCCCCCGTGCAGGGACTCCTTCGTTTCCACCTGTTTGGGGTGGATGTTTTCACAGTTCCATCTGCCCCTCAGAAATAGGAACCACACGCCTGCTGGCCTGTGGGACAGGTAGAGCAGGAGGGGTGGAGGGCGGAGGTGAGATGGCCAGGCAGAGGGAAACTTTGTGGATGGGAGTGCCTTTCTTAAAGCCCACTGCTGAGTTGAGGGGGTTTGGAGCAGAAGTCTTCTGAGTGGGAGAGACTGGTCTCATGATGTCAGTACGGGAAGCTAAGGCTGGCGGGGAGAAGGCTGGGTGTACTGTGCTTTGTTTGGGACCCTGGTTATATTTTCTGCCAGGTATATGGTGCCTGGACCTCTTCCTTCTAGCGGGGGAGAGGGAAAGCGGGCTAGGTGGAGGCGGTTGCTGTTCCAAGGGGCTTCATAAGACCTTGGAGGTTTCACTCCCGGGCCCTTGGTTCTCTCGGTGCCCACCCAACCTAACCGGACAGGGCGTGCCAGCAGTGAGAGGACCCCGGAGGCTGCAGGGCGGCCGTTGCTCCAGGCTGGGATCGGGAGCCCACCTTCCTCTCCTCATGGCTGGGTTGCCCGAGGCCAGTTGTCCTGCTGTAATTGTTGTAACACTCCCTTTTGATCTCCACAGTGGCCTATTTTTGATAGATTCTATATCACGCTGCCCATAGCACTGATTCTTTGCAGCCTGTAGGAGGGTATCCAGCTTGTTTCAGAAAAGTCTCTTTTCCAGCAGACAGGCAGCGTATCTGGTTCCTTGAAGCATCCCGGCACCTACAGAGGAGTCAGCACATTTTGGGTTCTCCACAAACAGTCGTTAAGTGAACAGGCAGAGCAGCCAGTGTTACCCTTAAGCAGGGGCTGGGATGGTCCTGGGAACGAGGACAGAGGACAGGAATCTGTAGGAGCAATTTCTGGGTCTGGGGTGCTTTGTTGAGGTGGGGAAGGCCAGCTGCTGAGTCCAGGGGACATCGGACAGTTGTTGCCTCCCTCCTGTTCTGTTCTTCCCTCTCCTGGCTGAATCCTGAAATGCCAGGTGCCAGGAATGCTGTTTACTTTTACCCATCTGCATTGCTGATCATTTTTGAGGCCTTGTACTGACTGTACTGCACATTATGAATTGTGTATGTTTATTTCTTAGGTGGCTTATTTTCAAGTTCATACTGAAATTAAGGCTCATAAGGAAGTACTGTTCATATCTGTGGTCTTCGTAGATGGAGCCTAGTCATCCACTCCTCATTGAGACACTAGGGGAAGATTGGAGGCAGTTAGCCGGAGACTATCCTGCAGGTGCTGTGAGCCGGCTTAGAGAGGATGGGCACTACCTGCATCTAACGGTGCTTAGAGCAGAAGTGGGTGGAGGCAGAAGAGTAAGAGTCTCGAGTTGTGGCCTTCACAGGCGGAGACAGGAGAGCAGGCCCCTGCCAATTACTTGTTATTTCAACAGTTGCGGCTGAAAGGACGCTATAAAAATGGCCCAGGTGCCAGGCTGGCAGCTGAGGCTGCAGACACAGCGAGCAGGGCACCACCTCTGGCCCCACGCACACAGCGCTCACCGGCTCTCTCTGGCAGGTGTGAAGCAGCAGCTAGAGATGGTGCGGCCCGGCTTGGGGATATTCTCTGTCTTCATCTGCCTACGAGGCACCAAGAAGGACCTGGGGCTGCAGGCCACCAACTACTATGTTTATTTTGACACAGACATGGACAAGGCGTAAGGCGTGTGTGTGCATGTGGGGGGAGAGGGTGTCAGCATGGCCCACAGCCCATGGGACCCTTGCTTCTTCCCAGGATGCCGGGGAGTCAGTGCAGGAGATGGAATGGGAGGAGGTGGGCAAGCACTGCCTCCAGGAAGGGCTTTTGTGCACCTAGGCTGTCCCTCAGCTCCATCCCTGGTGGTGAGGGAGTGTCCGTGGGGATGAACTGTCTTCGGGGAGTGCTGGTGGCTGGGAGGACCAAGGTCTTGGGCTGGGCAGCCACACTCCTCTCACCCTCAGGATGGAGCACTACCTGTCTTTGCCGAGGGAAAAGGCTGCTGCACACATGCCCTTCCTCTTAATTGCTCCCTCATCAGCTAAGGACCCGACTTGGGAGGACCGATTCCCAGGTGGGGTCTGAGGTCCTGAGGTCCCGGGAGGGGGTTGGGGCGGGAGGGACCAGGCAGCAGTAATCCAGCTCTGCCTCCCCAGACCGGTCCGCAATAGTCTTGCTGGTGCCCACCCGCTATGAGTGGTTTGCGGAGTGGCAGGAGGAGCCCTGCGGAAAGCGGAGCAGCGACTATGAGAACCTCAAGTCCTCCTTCGTTGAAGCCTCGCTGTCGATTGTCCTGAAGATGTTCCCACAGCTCGAGGGAAAGGTAGGTAGACCACATGATGTACCATTTTTCTCCTTCCTTTGGGCCAGGGAAATATCTCAGCTGAGGTAACTGAGCTCTGGGGAAGGCAGGGAACCCATGCAGACCATCAACTCATTCAAGGAGAGCAGAAGAGGAAAGATGAACATCTCACAAGGTCTCACTCCCACCCTGTGGCTCTTTTTTCCTCTTAGGTGGACAGTGTGGCCGGAGGATCCCCGCTGTCCAATCAGTTCTACCTGGCTGCTTTCCAGGGAGCCTGCTATGGGGCTGACCACAACCTGGACCGCTTGCATCCCCATGCCATAGCCTCCATCAGGGCCCAAAGCCCCATCCCCAACCTCTACCTGACAGGTACACTGACAGCCCCATTTTGCCAGGAGTTGTGCCCTTCGGCCTCCATATCACCCACAGTCCTGTTCTTGTCCTCAGGACTTTCTGCCCCTGCAGCTCCCACACCTGCAGGCTTGATCTGCAGCTGCCCCTGGGTGACCCCAGCACCGAGGGATGGACACGAGAGCCCTCGCCCTCTCTCTCACTTGGGGCTGCTCATGGGTCTCTGCCTTGTCTCCTAGGCCAAGACATCTTCATCTGCGGGTTGATGGGGGCCATACACGCGGCCCTCCTGTGCAGCAGTGCCATCCTCAAGCGGAACTTGTATTTAGACCTGAAGAAGCTTGGTTCAAGGATCCAGGCACAGAAAAAGAAGAATTAGTTGGGTCAGGGATGCACCAGATGAATTTGGCCGGTGCTTGTGGCACAGCCTGACTCAGCCATGTCTTTCAACATCTGTTTCTGCTCACACGAAGCATTCTCATTCATTTTTGATTTCTGAATGGAGATCTGTTCCCCAGTTCTCCCTCAGATCCCAGTTCTTAACTGAAGTTCTTCCAGCTGGGGCAGGGGATGATCTTCCATGCCTTTCACAATGCACTAGCTGCTACTGCTTCTTTTCTTTTTAAAAAAAAATATATATATATATATTTTATTGATTTTTTACAGAAAGGAAGGGAAGAGATAGAGAGCCAGAAACGTTGATGAGAGAGAAACATCGACCAGTTGCCTCCTGCACACCCCCTACCGGGGATGTGCCCACAACCAATGTACATGCCCTTGACCAGAATCCAACCTGGGACCTTTCAGTCCGCAGACTGACACTCTACCACTGAGCCAAACCGGTTTCGGCACAACGCACTAGCTTCCAAAGGCCCTGTGTGGGCTGCTGAGTGGGATAGTCTTAATGTCTCACCCAGCACTGCTCTGCACCCCATACCCATACCTCCTAACAGGCAAACCAAATATTAATTTTTGTTGTTAATTCTCACCGGAAGATATTTTTCCTATTGATTTTTAGAAAGAGTGGAAGGGAGCGGGGGAGAGGTAGAGAGAAACATCGATGTGAGAGAGACACATCAATTGGTTGCCTCCTGCATGTGCCCCAACTGGAACCAAGGTACATGCCCTTGACTGAAATTGAACCCAGAACCCTTCAGTTCTCTGGCTAACACTATCCATTGAGCCAAACCAGCTAGGGCAAACTGAATATTCTTGAAAGCATTGGTCCAGCTGTCCTGAGGCTTCTCTAATCACTCAGTGTTCTGCTGCAGTCTACACTGTTAAGGAAAAAGGGTGTCTAACAAGGGTTAGTCAAAGCCTGGGCATGGTTTTGATTATAGGCTCAGAGGCCTCCAGATCCCATTTTTTGCTGGTTCTGTCTTGCTCAGGGGTGGAAACATGCCTGCGACAGGCTCACTGTGGTTGTGGGGGCTGGAAAATAGCAAGATATCAGTTTGCAAGGTGTGTGTTTAGAAGTTAATATTCAATTATAATAGTATGCAGCAAAGGTCCTAGATTTGCCTTCCTTATCATGCTCAGTGTGGCAACACTGAGACACACCCCTATGGAGCTTATATCTGAGCCTCAAGGCTTATCTTTCAAAGATACACAGCAAAGGGTGACACTGGTAGCCAGGGCACAGGACTGGAAAGGTGATGCCACCAGGGTTGAAGCAGGCCGCAAGGGCATTCCAGGCCAGGGGACAGTAGAGGACAAGTGCCGAGAGTAAATGAATGATGACCACGGGCCCACCTACCTCGTAGACCTAGTCCATGGGCTGCCTGGTGGGGAAGATTGGGGCTGGAAATCAGTCACCATCACAACACACAAAGCTACAGGATGTGTGCAAACCCTAGAATGGCGTTTCCCGTTAATTGGAGATTGGGTGGGAAGGTAAATGAAGACTGAAGGTTAAAAATAAAATTACCTTTCACTTGTGTTAGGCCTCCTATCAGTCAATTCTAAGACAATAAATTCAGTGATTTTATAGCTTTACAATTTGAAATTTATTTGTTTCTGCAACGATACAAAATTACATCAAGTGGCATTCACAGAAGCTCAGTAAAACATTAGATACTGAAAAATACTTATCATTAGACCAAATAAGCTTTTAAAAATAATTATAGTTACAAAAGCTGAAAATATAAAACACTGCAAAACAGTGGCACTCTACTAAGTGGATAAACAAGGGAAAAAACAACCATTAATGCAGCAGATTTCGGAATCCAAGGAATATCATATATACACACATCTTCTAACAGAGGAGTTTGGGATTATTTAGGGAATTTACATGTGGCTGGTGAAACTAGCTGAGTTGAGATTCAGTCTTGGCTCTGGATATACACTTAAAACTGAAAATCTCTTTCCTGGATCCTTACTTAAGCCAGACTACGCCAAACAACCTTCCCAGCAAGTTTTCAGAAAACAGCTGACAGAACTACAAGGACTGATATATAGCACACTCTTCCCTGTTCATATGACTCAGCATGTTCAAGCATGTTAGCTTTCCTCACACGAGGCACTGGGTGTCAAGCTACCCTGTGGAAACAAGGGACAGGCTTCCGTTTTTTAATTTAAATGACATGAATTGGAGAATAAAATGAGAATCACCGATAACTTTAGAGGTTTAGAATTCTATCATCAAATATTTCTTTAAAAGCCATCATGGGAAGCCCAGCCGGTGTGGCTCAGTTGTTGAGCGTGGACTATGAACCAGGAGGTCACTGTCTGATTGCCTGTCAGGACACATGCTCGGGTTGCAGGCTCGATCCACAGTGCAGGGCCGGCAGGAGGCAGCCGATCAATGATTCTCATCATTGATGTTTCTCTCCTCCCTTCCTCTCTGAAATCAATTAAAAAAAATTTTTTTTTAAAGCCACCATGGGAAAAGATATGTCAAAATATATATAACTAATTGTCAGGTCATTCTAAGTTATTTTAGCCTTTCGAGGTAAGACTGGCCTTCCATTGCTCTGGCTGGTTAAAGCATTGTCTCCAACACTGAGGTTGCAGGTTTGATCCCCAGTCAGGGGACATACAAGAATCAACCAATGGATGGATGAGTAAGGGGAACAACAAATTTATGTTTTCACTCTCTCCTTTCCTCTCAAAAATAATTTAAAGACTGGCCTTTTACTCCCTCAAAGTCCAGAAATGGACTCTTTAAATATTCTACTCAGTAATCTATCAGGAAAACAAGTTCCTCTATTACATCCACAACTGAAGCATAGATTCCTCAAAATAGAAATCAACCTTCAACCAAAGGCTGGGCAGGAGAGGAAGTACACAGCTGCCTAGAGGGGTGCCTCTCCAGGCTCCCTGTAACTTTCCCCGCCCCCTACCCCCGGCTCCCGGGGCTTGAGATTGCCTTCATCCAAAGAGTCTCTAAGAAAACATAAGTAATCTTCAAAAAGATTAATAAGTAACTTCAAGTAATCTTCAAAAAGACAACTGCCCAGAAAACAAGTCTTCCTTTGGTGTGAGAGATTTCCTTTAGCGCAGTTTTTTAAATGAAACTTAAATTCTATACTCTCACCACAAGAAATTACATTTCTCAGACTCATAAAGAGCCTGTAATCTTGCCTCTAAGCCATGAGGGACACAGACGGAAGCTTCAGATCAGGGCAAGTGTTTTAGAAAGGGCAATCTGGTCTCTACGCACACAAGAGAAGATGGACAGGAAAACCAATAAAGGTGGCTCCTGATACAGAGATCTGGGGGAGAGGTGAATGGGTGTGGGACAGGGAAGCAAGGAAAATGGAAAGATGGCAGCTTGAGACTTTTTTTTTTTTTAAAGCATAGGATTTTTGTGACGAGATAAAAATGATAAAAGTTTGTAGTTTGGAGTCGAGAGGATTAAAGAAATTGGGCAGTTGAAAGGGACAGTTTAATCAGTAGAAAAAATTCAGTTTTGGAATTTTTAGGACAACCATGCTGAAATAGCACACAACAGGACTGTTTCTTTGGGAACTATGCCAAGGATAAAAGACAGAGGATGAAGAATGAATTTCTGAGGAGACAAAGGAGTTCTTTTTTGTTTGTTTAAAAATTTGTTGTTGTTAATCCTCACCTGAGAATATTTGTCCATTGATTTTTGAGACTGGAAAGGAGGGGAGAGACAGAGAAAGAAACAGTGATGAGACACATCAATTGGTTGCTTCCCACACATGACCTGACCAGGCCTAGGGATTGAGCTGGCAACTGAGCTATGTACCCTTGACCAGAATCAAACCTGGGACTCTTCAGTCCGAGGGCTGATGCTCTATCCACTGACTCAAATCGGGTGACAAAGGAGTTCTTGACATCAGGACACTTTGTCAAAGAAACCAAAAGAGGTGAATTTCTGTTTGGATGGTCAACAGTGTCCAATTCTATCAAGATCAAGACTAAGTTTTGAGAACAAGCCATTGGATTTGATTATCTGAAACTATGGAATAACATTTAGTAGAAAGACAGGGACCAAAGTGAGTTTGTAAAGGTTATGAAGAGAGTAAATGACAAAGTAATGGAAGCAACACTCACTAAGAAGTTGAAGGGCAGACTGAATAACAAATAGGATGGGTGGGCGGTGGGGGTGTTGTATAAGCATGAAGGTTGGAGAAAAGTGTTAGTGTAGACAGGCAGAAATAGAAAACAGAGGAGGAAAGGCAGGGACAGGGGAGGCAGAAAAGGGAATACAGTAACCATGGTCTTAGGGAATGCTAGGGGAGCCTGATGGAAGAGTCCTCAGGTTGGAGGAAAGTATAAGACTGGTGCACAAGTAAAGAAATGATGACAAGAGGAACATTCATTCATTCTTGATCTCCACAAACAGGTTCTGCAATGAATAAAAAATCTCAACTCAAAGCCATGAACTGTTGGTTCTAAGCAAGGTGGATGATAATATGACAAACACGTGGTCCCTTCTTTACTTACTTCTTCAATACCATAGAATTTGTCATATTCCCCTCACTTCCAACATTCTTTGTATTTCTTGAGATCAGATACTCTATTTCAGTTTTCCCTTTGCAGAAACAACTCTTTAGGCTCTCTGTAATAGGCCAACATGACTAGATCTACATAAAACTTCAAACAGTGTGACCTAAGACACTACCCTCAGTTACCCCACAGGAACTCTGAATTTCTTAAATTTTAGTAACCCCTCCCATGGGATAGAATAATTTTACTAACTACCCTCACTTAGCATTTTATATTAGACTAGAGGCCTGGTGCCCGAAATTCGTGCACTGGAGGCAGGGACCCCTCAGCCTGGTTGGCACCCTCTTCCAGTCCGGGACCTCTCACTCCTTACCGCTCAGTTTGCTGCTGCTTAGTGCTGCCATGGAGGTGGGAGAGGCTCCCACTGCCACCACTGTGCTTGCCATCTATGAACCTGGCTTCTGGCTGGACAGTGCTCCTTCTGTGGGAGTGCACAGACCAGGGGACAGCTCCTGCTTTGAGCGTCTGCCCCCTGGTGGTCAGTGTACATCATAGTGGCCGGTCGTTCTGGTCATTCCACTGTAATGGTCGCTTAGGCTTTTATTATATAGATGAGAGGACCATTATTAAGGTTAAGGTAAAAGAGTCTGGTTTCTAAATATATCTATTTTGTCTGTTTTAGGCAACAAAGGCAAAATAGAGTTTGTGGGGAACCTATTTCATAAAAGTTCTTTGAAAAAAATGCAGACTCAAACCAAAACCCTCCTATTTGTTTTCCTGCACACGAACTTACTCTATTTCAAAAAGTTCCTGTTATGGTTATAAGAAAAAACAGTGTTTCAACAATCACAACTTTATTTCTAAAAATCTGCAATGGGAACAGTGGCTTTACAGCTCTAACTCCCAGAAGCCCCAAGTTCAGTTTTATACTCAGTATCAACCAAATGGAAGCTGATTCACTTTGTCTTACATAATAGGAAAATGTGCTGGACAGGTTGAGCCTGCAGGCAGCAAAGCATTTTTTAAAGCTATTGTTTTGGTTTGCTGCGGAAGCATTTGAAAAGAATTATGTGTTTAATGTAGCTCTTTGCCCAACAGCATTCACCTGGTAGATCTCTTGTAGGGCACATCCCCCCAAAGAAAGAGGCCCTGGGGGAAAGTATCTCAAGCAGCTGAGTTTTCTCTTAGGTCTGCAAAAATAAATAGTGGCGAGTGCAATGCTACTTTCTAGGGGTAATTTCACTACAGAGCCGAGGCCCAAGGTGCCCAGGGCAGCCAGCAGCACTAGCCTGCCAGGGGCTGGGACCTCCATTTACCAAAACTGGGTTCCCACCTGCTCGCTCCTTCTACTCATACTCAGAGGGGGAAGATGGAAGACACCAGTGTAAATAACGGGAACAAAGGAGTACAGGGTCACTAAAGTGCAGGTGCAAAAACCAAAGCCATGCTCCCCACCCCCGATCTCTGCCAGCTCGGATTGGCCACCAAACCCTAGAGGGTATTTCTTAGTTCACAGTACTTTTATCTTCATTTATCTTGATTTATAAACAAATCAGCAGGGAGGATGAGGTTCTCAAAAACAGAAAGATCAAATCTGAAATGAGAGTAATAAAATGCATTGGTGACGTTCACTTCTTCCAGAGAAATATCTTACTGCTATGATTCTGGAGGTAAAAAGGATCTTAAAAAGAGTTGCAGCTCAAAGAAAAAAAAATCCAGAATTAGGACAAACTGACCCTCCACCATACAAACAGTAATAGATAAAATAAAAGCACACAAAATTATTTTAAAAATTCAGTTTGAAATAAAACATACACTAGATGCACAGCCAGCATGGGCATTGACCTATGAACCAGGAGGTCATGGTTCAATTCCCAGCCAGGGCACATGCCTGGGTTGTGGGCTCCATCCCCAGCGGGGGGCATGCAGGAGGCAGCAGATCAATGATTCTCTCTCATCATTGACGTTTCTCTCTCTCTCCTTCTCTTTCTCTCTCTCCCCCTCTTCCTTCTTCTCTGAAATCAATAAAAATATATTTTAAAAAAACAACAGCTAAAAAAACAAACAAACCCATAAACTAGACAGATCCAGCCAGGACCGGTTTGGCTCAGTGGATAGAGCGTCGGCCTGCGGGCTGAAAGGTCCCAGGTTCGATTCCAGGCAAGGGCATGTACCTTGGTTGCGGGCACATCCCCAGTGGGGGGTGTGTAGGAGGCAGCTGATCAATGATTCTCTCTCATGGATGTTTCTAACTCCTTATCCCTCTCTCTTCCTCTCTGTGAAAAATCAATAAAATATATTTAATAAAAAAAAAAAAAAAAACTAGACAGATCCACACTTAGTGGAAGGAATATGGGAAGCTTGGCTTCTGCTTTGTACCATTCTGTATTCTGAATTGTTTACATGTGCATTTTTTAAATCAGAAAAAGGTGATAATGAATAGGGATGACAATCCTTAAAATCAATTATCTGGAGAGGTACTTGGCCAGGGTTATACTGTGAAGCTGATCTACTAGGCCAGTCAGCAAGATGTTTTGAGCTGAGTGCCTATTCTGTAGCTGGTATGAGCTGTACATATGAACTGTGTTCCCTGTAGGAGTCTGGGAACAACTCCCAGTTGGGCCGCCAGCAACTCTTCACCCACGCCCTTGCTGAGCTGCAGACGGGTGCATGCTGGCAACAAGGATGTGAGAGTACACTGAGCTCAGCCTTTGGGGAGAACCTTACCCAGCTCCTGCTGCTGTGGGGTGAAAGGAGGGCTTCGCTTTCTGGCAGAGGCATGGGTTAGCTGCATTTAGGAAATCTAGTCAACAATGTTTAGCAGGGCTCATCTGGGAAGCTGGAGGCCTATGTTTCTGAACTTGCTTATTTCTAGGGAGTGTAATCTAGAGCTTTGCTCCCCAACATGTGGTTCCAGCAGCATCTGACATCATCTAGGAACCTCCTAGAAATGTAGAAGCACAGGCTCCACCCCACAGCTAGTGAATCAGATTTTGCTTTCTATCACAATGCCTATGAAAATCTGTGAAGTGCTGGTGTAGTACAAAAAGCACATATGGATGCCTAGGGGGTTCCCATCAGGTCTTGATTTTGTCACATACTTGAGGTAAGAATTTAAGTGGGGGGTAGGGTGAGAGGATCATGACTTCTGGGCCTGAGTTTATTCATCTGTCAAGGGAGGGAGCTGTTGTAGCATACTTAAAGGTCTCTTCAGCTCTAACATATACATGATGTCTCTTCTTAGTGATCTGAAAAGGGCAGGGGTGATGGTGGCAGCACCCCTAGAACCAGCTGCTGCATCTGAGCCAAATGCAAGCCCATCGCTGTGCCCCGCTGAGACTGCATGGCCCTCCCATGAACCTGGGCTTTCCCTTCTTACCTTCTGGTCCAAAAGCTGGTAGTCACTGGCCTTTGGTCGCCGAGTAGGTTTGGTTTTTTTTCCTTCCAGGGCAAAAGCAATAATCTGGGGGAAGGAAAAAGAAAATGATTAACAACTGACTCTATAATGATATTTCAGTTTCTGAAATCAGAAATAATCACCGGGTAGTACATTTGTTCATAACCCTGACAGTAAAAAGAGCAGTACACCCATAAGGAGACCTATATATATATATAAAACCCTAATATGCAAAGAGACCAAATGCGGAACAACCAAATAACAAAACAACTGGTCACCATGATGTGTGCTGACCACCAGGGGCATGCGCAGAACATGGCAGGCGTCAGCAGCAGGTGGCAGAACGCAGAACATGGCAGGCATCAGCCACAGCAGGATGGTGGAGCAGGTGAGCGGAGGTGTCAGACCAAGGTGGGGGCACTAGTTGCTGTCATCAGGGCGAGCCTCTGTGGTTACTGAAAATTCTTTGCTCCTGCACACCATAATCTCACCTGGCGCCCAGTGCCGGCCCAGCTAACATCTGCAGCTGGCACTGGAGCCACCGCTCACACCCACTGTCAGCGCATGGCATCAGTGCCAGTAGCTCAGGAGCAGAAGGTGGAGAAGCCCCTAGGGGCAATCGGGGCCAACAGCCACTGCTTGCACCCGCTGCTGGCGCTGGCCCCAATGGCTCTGCGCCTTCAGCAGGTGCAAGTGGGGCTGGCACCATCAGCACATGGGAGCAGCAGGAGCAGGGCTGCCCGCAGACAGGGGATGGGAGGGAGAGGGAGGCGGGCCATGATGGGAGGGGTCAGGAGGAGGGCCATGGAAGATGGACTGAAACCCGCCTCTGGGCCCACCGCAGCCTCGCAGCCCTCACATTCAAGGTGCATGAATTCGTGCACTGGGTCCTAGTTTAAATTGTAACAATTTTAAGAACAGGGCTTAGTTCCATTACAATCACGTATACTGCTAAATCAGCAATGACAGAGGAAGGAAAGCTGTTCTGGGTTCTAGTTTGTGGGAGTCTGCTAATTTACTCAAGAATAGTCAAAGATCTGACTACTCATCCCTGGAGAGCTGTAGGCTAAGACACTTTTTTTTTTTTTTTTTTTTTAATAAAACAAACAAACCATAAGCAATTATTCTTTTCTGCAAATGCTCTTTCACTCCATACTTCGCTTCATCTTCACTTTACAATCATTTCATGCCTAAGGTTACTCTCCATGATGTTGGATGTAGAATAAGGCATGCACCATTTTAACTAAATGAGTCCCTCATTTCTTGTAGCCACAGGCCTTATGGCTATCATGAATTGAACTCTCCAATTTTGACCAGGCTACAGAAACTAATAAATTGTTAAGAGTTCAATAAGAAATGCAATTACTGCCCTTGCCGGTTTGGCTCAGTGAATAAGAGTCTCAACCTGTGGACTAAAAGGTCCCAGGTTTGATTCCGGTCAAGGGCATGTACCTTGGTTGTGGGCACATCCCCAGTAGGAGGTGTGCAGGAGGCAGCTGACCAATGTTTCTCTCTCATCAATGTTTCTAGCTCTCTATCCCTCTCCCTTCCTCTCTGGGGGAGAAAAAAAAAATCAGTAAAATGTATTTTAAAAAAATGAAATGCAATTATTTAGTCATTGGAGTGATTGCTAAGTGACACAGATTCTACTTCACACCAACCCTTAAATAAAAGATGAGTATATCTATGCCAATTTCTGTTCTTTCTTCTAATCAGAAATTCAACTGACTACAAAGATAATCCCTGGGCTCCCTTGCTGTTGATGTCAAAGATTATGTAACCATTCTTTTTGCCACTGTAGGGGGAAGACAAAAACTTAGCAAAGGAAGCTAGAAATGATGTACTGAAAGTAGAAACAGGAAGGTAAGAGCTCTAACTACTTGCCAGGTCCTCAGGTCCTCTGAGGCTGTGAAGGATCTAAGTTCAAGATTACAAGAGACCCCAAAGCAGGTCAGACAGTAACAACATCCGCACTTGGCACCTCAGACAGCAGCAGAGAGCACTCAAGAGGAAGCAGCATGAAAACAAATGATTTATAAAACAAGAGTATAGCCCTAGCAGGTTCTGGGGAAAAACGCCTGACATGTGATAAAATACCCAGTGCTCACAGGCAGCTAAGTGAACACTGGCCCGTACACCAAGCTTTCAGGGTGAAAGACATCCCACTCCTCTTAAGATAACTGTTGACTTACCTTCCGCTTGTTGTGATAGGCAATATAAAGAACAGCAACGAGAATGGCTGCAGTCACCAGATATGCAAAGAAGTGACTGCTCTCCGCACTTCCAAGATTGTCCTTATAAAGGTCATCCTTCTTCCTGTTTATGGAATCCCAAAGGGTCCCTTCAAGGTTCTCTCCAGAGGCAGGACCCGGCATTTCCTTCTCTTCTTTGGGTGGAGAACCCCCTTCAAGTTCAGAGCTGTCTTTTGTGGACTGCTGCTCCCAATCCGACTTGCCAGAACTGTCTTCTGTGGGCATGTGCTCCTTATCTGACTTGTCAGGACTTTTTTCCGTGGAGTGTTGGTCCCTATCTGACTTGTTAGGACTTTTTTCCGTGGAGTGTTGGTCCTTATCTGACTTGTCAGGCCTTTTTTCCGTGGACTTGTGCTCCTTTTCCAAGTTTTCAGTACTGTTTTCTGTGGAGTGGTGGTCATTATCTGTCTTGTTAGAACTGTTTTCCATGGACTGGTGCTCCTCATTCAACTCTCTAGGACTTTCTGTGGACGGGTGGTCATCATCTGACCGGCTGGAGTTGTCTCCTATGGACTGTGGCGGTGGGTCTGACGGAGCAGAGCTGACAGCCATGTGCTGTATCAGAGCCTGTGAACCATTCTGAGGCAGGAGGATGGAAGAGGGCTTGTTGGAGACTTTTCTTTCAGTCTTTGCCTTCTCAGCAGGTGACGGAAGAGAAGTGCGCTCATTGTCTTCTGAAAGAGAGAAACCAGTTGGCCCTCAAGAGAGGAGGCAGGCCGTGGCCACCCAAGTGGATCAGTGATTGAGCGTGACCCTATGACCCAGGCAGTCAGGGGTCCATTCCCGGTCAGAGATCATGTCTGGTTTCGGCTTGATCTCCAGCAAGGGGTGTGCAGGAGGTAGCCGATCAATGATTCTCTCACAATTGATGTTTCTCTCTCTCTCTCCCTTCCTCCCTCTCTGAAATCAACGAAAAGAAAGAAGGAAAGAAAGGGGGGGGGGGGGAAGAAGAGAAAAGGAAAAGAAAGGAAAAGGAAAGACAAAAGAGAAGAGAAGAGAAGAGAAGAGAAGAGAAGAGAAGAGAAGAGAAGAGAAGAGAAGAGAAGAGGCAGGCTGAGATAAAGGATTAAGGATCCTTCAGAGCTGGAAGAGACTAGGGCAAACGGCAAACGGCGGCGGCGGTGGCGGGGTGATGGTGAGGGGAGGGGTGAGTCGGGCAGGGAAGAAGCAAGCTCAGCAGGCAACCGGCCACGGTGAGGGTGATGGGCCTGGGGGGCGAGAGTAGGATTTCCTTGGGGGCAGGGGTCTTACCCGCCGCGGCAACCACCACCAGGACCAACGCAACCAGGAACCGCATCCTGCAAACTGTACTTCCGTCGTCTACTGCTCTCGCGAGATCGCGCACGGACGCCGTCCTCGTAGCTCCGCCCCTTCCTGCGCGCGTCTCCCGCCGCGCCGCCGCAGAGGGCGGGCCAGTGGGGAGGTCGGGAGGTGTGGTGCTTCCTCCCCGCCGGGCAGCGCTTCTCATTGGCGGCACCCCGCGGTCCAGTTGCGTTCACCTTTCCCTGATCTCTTTGCTCCGTAGCATCCGCCATCCCCCATCTCTCCCCGTTTCCTTCTTTCCCATCGAGCTTCCGAGACGATACAGGCTGAGCAGGAGCCCCCCGGCCTGTGGACCGTCCCGCGGGAATGACGCCGCCGGGCCGGGCGCCTCCCCGCCCCATCCTCCCGTCGCCTTGGTAACGTCTCCCTTTCTCCCACCCAAGCAGAGCCATCCCGTCACCTGGGCCTCCCAGCTCCCCTCTGTCCCCGCACCAGGAAACTGCCCTCACGTCGCCAGAGGCCTTTCCTAAAGTGCATCCTTTTCCTGACCACGAAAGCTTTTCGTGTAAACTGTAGAAAATGTAGCGATCGTGTAGAAGTAGAAAGCAAAATCTTTGCCCCCACAATCCCGAGATTTCACTACGTTTTGTTTTGTTTTGTGTCTTGCAAACATTTAACATTTTTTTGATTAGGTAATACATTCTAATGACATAAAAAAAATCAAAATGGGATTTCTAAAAAATAGCATACATTAGAAAACTACCCCTCCACAGGGTACCACTTAAATTAGTTTATTGTTTCCATTTTGTGTGTGTGTTTTGTTATTTTTTTGAAAGTTGTATCTCTTGTCTTTTTCTTTGAAATATATTTTATTGATTTTTTTCTTTTTACAGAGAGGAAGGAAGAGGGCTAGAGAGCTAGAAACATCATTGAGAGAGAAATGTCAATCAGCTGCCTCCTGCACACTACCTATTGGGGATGTGCCCGCAACCAGGGTACATGCTGTTGATTGCTATGACCTGGTCCCCCCCAACTGCCCTTCCCTGCAGGCCTGGCCAAAGCTCTATCCACTGAGCCAAACCGGTTTGGGCTTGTGTGTGTGTTTTTAAAAAAACGTAAATACAGCCCTAGCTGGTTTCCCTCAGTGGATAGAACGTCCGCCTGCAGACTGAAGGGTCCCAGGTTGCCTTCAGGTCAAGGGCATGTATCTTGGTTTCGGGAGTGATCCCCAGTTTTCATTGTTTCAGATGTCTCTCTCTCTCTCTCTCTCCCTTCCTCTCTCCCTCCTTCCCTTCCTCGTTCCCTTCCAGACTCTCTAAAATTAATAAAAACATATCTTTGGGTGAGAATTTTTTTTTTAATTTCCACCTAGGATTTGTTTCATTGTTTCAGTATTTCCAACTCTATCCCTCTTCCTTCCTCTCTGTAAAAATAAATCAATAAAAAATGTATTTTTAAAAAATCACATAAATACAAATGTACTTATTTTCCCCTTCTTAAATGTAATTTCTTGGTCTTTTTTCTATGCATATTCATTTTCTCCCAAATTATAATCATTGGGTAAATAGTGTTGTACTCCACTATTTGTAATAACTGTTACGTTTATTACATTACTTGCTTGAAATCATTTTATGCACATTGGCCAGGCTAGGTGCTTTGTAGACAGGCAGTGATTAAAAAAAAAAAATGACAGACCCCAACTTAATGGAACATGTAATCTAGAGGTCTCACGAATATTAATCAGATACTTACACAAATGAGTGTGTGCTCAAAGAAATAAAGTACAGAAACCGAACTCTGTTGAGAAAGACCTTTGAGTTGAGGACCAAAGTGTGCAGGTGTTTTCCAGGTGAGGTAGAGGGAGGAGGAGGCTGAGTGTACAGCGTGTGCCGAGGCCTGCGGACTGGTGAGAAGATGGTGTTTTGTGTAAATCTAAAGATGAGGATAGGACTGTCAGCTAACAACAAAAAGAATGGCATGGGAGAGTCCGGTTAAAGAGTCAATGACCTGGGAGCTGTCCAGAACATAAATATTTATGGGACACAAAAGTGCATCAGAAAATATGCTAGTTAACTCAGACTGTAATATAACCCCACCGAAAGGGACTGCAGCTGCCAGGGCAATAACGCTCCTCTGTAGTCTGCCGAGTACAATATTTGGGTTACATTGCATGAAGTTTTAGTTCATTGAAATTCTGTACATGGCATAAGTATAGTTTGTTGTTTAAAAACACCGTAATAGCCGGGACCGGTTTGGCTCAATGTATGGAACGTTGGCTTGGGGACTGAAGGGTCCCGGGTTCGATTCCGGTCAAGGGCATATGCCTTGGTTGCGGGCATATCCCCAGTGGGGGGTGTGCAAGAGGCAGCTGATCGATGACTCTCTCATTGAGGTTTCTAACTATCTCTTCCTTCCTCTCTGTACAAAATCAATAAAATATATTTAAAAAAAACAACACAAAACAAAACAAAACAAAAAACACCTTAATAGTGCTTCTCAACATTTCTCTGTTGTAAGAAAATCTCTCTTATATACACCCTCATTACTGAGGCGAGAATGAGGATCAGAGAGAAGCGAGAATCTGTTACTGAATTATTTCAGAACCCTGACTCTGCTTTGGCAAGAAAGGGAATTGGCAAATGAATTTGTATCTAAAAGAAAATTCTCTCCAGCTTATATATATATATATATATATATATATATATATATATATATGGCTAATATTAAAGAATAGTTGTTTAGTAGGGGTATGTTCAGGGAAAGGAAAGGCAAATTACTATTTTTTTAATTTTATTGATATGGTATCACATAATTGTCCTCATCCCCTCCCCACATATGCCCCCATCCCCCTGTTGTCCATGGCCACTGGCTAGGCCCATATGCATGCACACAAGTCCTTTGGTTGATCTCTCCCTCTTACCCCCACCCTCCCCTATTTTCCCTCTGAGGTTTGAGAGGAAAGGCAAATTATTAAGCCTGATCATATGTCCACATTACTAGGCAGAAAGAAAAGAAGGGTCGAAATCCTACAGATTATGAGCCATGCCCAGGTTGTACATTTTATCTTAATAGTAATGAGAAGCCATCAAAGAGGTTTAAATAGGAAAAAGATATAATCCTAGGTGGAAATTAAAAAAAAAATTCTCACCCAAAGATATGTTTTTATTAATTTTAGAGAGTCTGGAAGGGAAGGAGGGAGAGAGAGAGAGAGAGACATCTGAAACCTCGGTTATGTGCCCTGACTGGGAATTAAACCTGCAACCCCTTGGTGTATGGGGCAACTGGTCGATGTACCTCTCTCATCGATGTTTCTAGCTCTCTATCCCTCTCCTTTCCTCTCTGTGAAAAATCAATAAAATATATTTAAAAACAAAAAAACAAGACAAATATGACTGGCAGAACAAGGTCCAAGAGTTGAAGGGCTGGGATCTAGGGGACAGGAGAGCAGTTGACTTTGGGTTGAACAGGGGTTGACCTTGAGGCCTAGGGTAGAGCAGAATGTTGAGTGGATGGATATTTAGGTTGGGATATGGGAGATCAAAATAGAACATTTCAACTGGCCTCCATGTAATTTAACTTTATTTTTAAAATATATGCTTGTTGATCTCAGAGAAAAAGGGAGCGATAGAAACATCAGTAAGAATCTTTGATCTGGCTGCCTCCTGCACACCCCAAACTGGGGATAGAGCCACAATTTGAGTATGCGCCCTGACTGGAACAGAACTTGGACCTTCTGGTTCATAAGTCAATGCTCAACCTCTGAGCCACACTGGCCCGGCTGGTTTGTTTTGATTTTGCTCTTGTAAACAATGCTGCACAAACACTTTTTTTTCATGTCTTCTGGTGTGCTGATGCATGCAAGTTTCTCCTGAGTGTATATGCTGTGCTTCCTCAGCATCTTTCTCCATACGCCTCTCACCTCACCCTGTTCTTGTACAGTTTTTTCTGCAACACAGGGTATTGCCCGTGGCCGCCCTCCTCCAGACCCCTGATGGAAGCTCCTAAAAGAAGTATTTTTCATTTGTGAATAGTTGTTCTTGGCTACAGCATAGGTAATCCACAAGAGAATCTATGGTATGTTGCAAAATATGCATTACTATTTAGGTGAAATAAGCCAGACACAAAAGGACAAATATTATATGAATCTATTTATTAAACCGGTAATTCTAAGTCCTTATCTTGCTTCAACTCTGTGCTGTACCTAGAATAGGCAAATCTATAATTTAGAATGTAGCTTAAAAGTTCTTGAGATCTGGCGGGGCAGGGGGGGCGGGGGGAGAAGGGAGTGGGGAGTTATTACATAGTGGGTACAGAGTTGCTGTTTGCGAGATGAAATAGTTCTGGAAGTCAATAGAGATTATGGTTTCATGGTGTTATAAATGTACTTAATACCATTAAATTGTCCACTTAAAAAGTTAAAATAGTTAATTTTATGTGTGTTTTATCACAATTTTTAAAAAAGCTATATATCCAAGAAGAGTAAAAAAACCTGGCAAGTACTCATAAAAAGAAGGAAGACTAAATTATTTTACCAAGGCTCAAAATAAAAAGAAATTCTGATTCATGCAGAAATATGGGTGAACTTTGAAAACATTATGCCAAGTTATATAAAGCAGGCACAAAAGGACAAATGTTTTTATTCCAATTATATGAAACATTCAGAGTAGGCAGATTCATGAAACGGAAAGTATATTAGAGGTACCAGGAGCTGGGGGGAGGAAGAATGAGTTGGGGTGATAAAAAGTTTCAGTGTTTATGGTGATGGTTGCACAACATTTTGAGTATAATTAATGCTTCTGAACTATATACTTAAAATGGCAAATTTTGTTACATATAACTACCATAATTTTAAAAAAATGAAGTACTGCCAAAACCAGTTTGGCTCAGTAGATAAGAGTGTTGGCCTGCAGACTGGAAGGTCTCAGGTTCGATTCCGGTCAATGGCATGTACCTTGGTTGCAGGCATATCCCCAGTAGGGGGTGTGCAGGAGGCAGCTGAATCAATGTTTCTCTCTCATTGACATTTCTAACTCTCTATCCCTGTCCCTTCCTCTCTCTAAAAAAAAAAAAAAAAAAAAAAAAATCAATTATATTTTAAAAAATTAAAAACTGAAGTACTGATACATACTACACAAAATGGGTGAACATGAAATATGCCAACTCAGTGAGAAAGAACCATGTATTATATTATTCTACTTAATGAAATGTCTGTAGTAGCCA